AATCCTCTGGGAAAGGGAATTTGCAAGGGCCTTCTAGAGAATTCCATCCCTCTGCTGGCCCATGATTTGAAAGGCTTGGCTCACCTTGGGGAGTGTGGATAATGAAATTCAGATTAAGCCCGTCTGATTCATGACATATAGCAGGGAGTCTGGTGTGCCCATGTGGCCACCCATGCTTCTTTCTGGTGTTAGGGGGACATCCCTCCCCAGATCACTCACAGAGGATAATCCAAAGTGAAAAAGGCGCCGAGGTAGGAGATTTCTAAGTGTACAAGAACCAAACAGCAATGGGGACACAGAGGAAAGAGGGCTTTATGGAAGCAGACGCTCCTGGTGGATTTCCTGCATTGCCAAGGGTCAGATACATAACCGAATAAGGAAGGGCCGTGGAAGAAGGGCCATGGCAAGAGGATGGGAAAGGAGCCATGCAGGCTGGCTGCAGGGGGTGGGGGGGTGGGGGTGGGAGTGGGTCCTGTCAGGCTGAGTCTGTAACATCAAGATAACAATAGTAGCTAATTTTGTTTGTTTGTTTTTCGAGACAGAGTTTCTCTGTTGTTTTGGAGGCTGTCCTGGAACTAGCTCTTGTAGACCAGGCTGGTCTTGAACTCACTGAGTAAGATCCACCTGTCTCTGCCTCCCCAGTGCTGGGATCAAAGGCATGTACCACCACCACCCAGCTCAGTAGTTCATCTTTTAAAAAGAACTCAGTTGAGAAGCAAAGGCCTCCACATACCGGTTATATGTCAAGGGGGGGGGATTTTTGGGGTAGGAGTTTAAAGAGGCTGGATATGAGCTCAGGCAGGGTGCCCTGCTACAGAGAGAAGGGACAGACATGCTTCTATCAAGTGTTTTGTCATTTTTCAGGAGTTAAGGAAAAGAGAGAAAATGAGATTAGCTAGGGAGAAGGTGACAGAGATAGGGTGGGAGGGATCTGGAGATGATGGGGACATGACCCAGGGAGGATCTGAGACTCCAGTGGAAGATGGTCAAAGCCAAGCGTGGGGGAGGCTGCCGTGAGAACAGGATGAAGTTCTGAATGTGTCAACAGAGAATGACAAGGGCCAGCACCTGCTCCGGGTGCTAACTCCACTAAATGCAGGTGCTTCCCATATACAATTAGGCTGCTGTTTGGGGTTCTTTTAAGGGAAAAAGCAACAGCTAATTCTGAAACACACGACTCTCGAGTTATGGTTAGCTTCTGCACAAGGCTCCGTCTACCTATGCTCCTGCAGAGTTGATAGAGAAGCCTTGCTTATAGTTACAGGTAACTCTAGTGACTTAACAGAGCACCGACCTGGGAGGAAGACAGAAGCCCACAGGCTAGAGTAGTTATAGTATCAGCCTTTTATGCCCAGCTCAATAATTGCCACCTGATACTTACCATTTCACCTAAAAAACCTTTTCTACCTGTCTTACACCCCAGGACCTCTGCCTTTACCACTTTGGGCTCTCAGTTACTCTACACAGCAAGCTGCCCCATCGTCTGACCCCTTCACAAGACCAAACTTAATCGCTATACCTTTTAGCCTCCCTGCAGTCACTTTTCCTTAAGCCAATTCTTGGCCCTCCCATCTCTCTTAACCCTGTCTCCATAGTTACACGGAGAATCTCCAGACACTTCCCCACTCCTGTGCTTTCCTCCCCACCCACCCTGCACCAGAACCCACCTGCTTCATTTCCATTCACCTCCACGCAATGGGAAGCTCCCCATCAGCCAAGAATTCATAAAGCTACTTCATGAGCCCTCCATCACCCCCTAACTGCTCATAAAACTTTCCCGGTCCTTCAAACAGAGACCCTTAGCCCTAATTAGCACTTACACCCACATATGCATGCACACTGTGCAAGCACACACATGCTGCAATCTGTCCCTGAGATTCCCAAGCTGCTCACAACTTATCAGGCAACACGAAACAGCTGGCCCTGATCCCTTTCATCATCACTCCTGCAAATCCAGGCACTTGCCCCTCCCAGTCTTGTCCAGGTGCAAGAGCTCCCACCCTGAAGTACTCAGGTCTTTCCCTGAGCCAAGATTGCTTCTGATCAGGAGGCAGCTACCCCAGCAAGGGAGAGCAAACCTGAGCCTTCCTTCCATCAGACATCGCAGTGCTGCAGCCGTGGCTCGTTCGCACACATGATTTATGAACTAATTTAGCATGTAAGGAAACATCTGCATTTTGCTTTTATCATCTTGCCAGCAGACAGGCTGAAGACAAGATGCATACTGTAGACTTGTTTAATGGGGCCTTAAACGTTCCCTCTCACTAGCCTGAGCTTACACAAGGCTCTGGTTTCAGAACTTGTCTGATCTAACTGACACAACACAAACAAACACAGAAATAAAGCTCTCCTAAACACGTCCGTACCACAGGGACAGTTGGAATGGCCATAAAATCCATGCTGGTCAAGGCCCCCAAGAGCATTCTAGTGGCCAGGACTGGCTTGGAATTTGGGGAATAAAAAAGGTGACTTGGTTATTTAATACTATGCATCCAGACTGCGCCCTTTTTATTATATACAGTTTTAAAATGTTCATTTAGAGGCACATGAACTTATAAGGATATTTGGGGGAAAACATCAAAGTTGGCTGATGTTGCAAGCAGAATTGTAAAACCCCCCACAACACACACACACACACACACACACACACACACACACACACACACACACACAAAGATACATTCAAGTCCAAGTTCCTAAAACTGTGACTGTGACCTTCTTTCGACCTTGTCATTGGAGATCTGGTCCTTGTAGATATAATCAAGTTAATATGTGGTCACCCTGGATGGGTGGACCTCAGCTCAGTATGAGAAGAGGAAATTGGATTCAAAAGCACACAGACATAGGAGGAAGGTCATGTGAAGACAAAGGCAGAGACTGCAGGGGGGCATTCATGAGCCAAGGAGCACCAGAGGCCCCAAAGCAGGGAGAGAGGATGTAACATGCTTGCTCTGAGCCTCCAGACAGGTCTGGCCCTGCAGGGGCCTTGATTTTGACCCCTGGTCTCCAGAATTCTGAAAGAATGTATGCTCATGATTTTAACCCAGCATGTGTGTGACAATTTCTTATAGCACGACAAGAAAGTAATGCGGGTATGTCAAGGCCATGACTCCTGTGATACTGTGGCCATTGGCACATGGCTTAGATGGAAGGGGAGGAGCACAGCATGCTACCTGCTATGATCGAATCTGTAGTTCCTTCCGCCAATGTGAGAAAGGCTCAGTCTCCAGCTTGGAGATTTTAAGAGATTGGGTAAAGTGGGAGTTTTTGGGTCACTGGAGGTGTGCCCTTGAAGCACACTGTGGGATGCTGGTCCCTTTTCTCCTTTGCTGCCTGGTTACTGTGAGATGAGCATCTTTGCTTCACTTAGCAGATCTCACCATTATATGCTGCCTTGCTATAAGCCAAAACGCAAACCCCGCCTTCAATGATGCTAACTGATCATACTGAAACTTCAAAAACTGAGCCCAAATCAACCTCTTTCTCCTGGTAAGTTAATTTGTCTCAGGTGTTTGTTATACAAAGTGAATGAATCCATCACCAATAAGCTCCCTGCAGCCACAGGTCACTGCTGCTTCCTGCACAAACTGAAGGCTCAAAATGGAGATCCTCCAATGCCATCCTGTGTATGTGTGCTTATTGTGTTTATCCATTAACATTGGTGTTGGTAGCCTAATACTTTGACCAAGTAAAATCTTTAGTACCTTTTGTGAAGGTGCCGAGAGACACTTTCACTATGGCTGCCATTTGGTCTTCACAGCACCTTGAGACAGCTGTGCCTAAAACAGGTGCCCTTTGTTGAGCTAGAGACCTGAAAGTCCCCTAGAGAACACACCTAGACCAAGCTTGTGTCTGTGACCAGCTTGAAACACTAGCTGCACACAGTGTGCAGTGGGTCAGCCCTTTGCACACCTCTCTTGTTGTCTTCATTTCTCATCAGCCTGGAGTGTATCATGGGATGGAAGCAACGGGTAGTTCGCCAGATCCCTGGCATAACAATGGCCTTTGCTGGGGTCTCTAGACAGCTTTCCTGAAGGGCTCTGGCTGGCAGGAAGGAGCCAGCCCTCCCACAGAACAGGCTCTGGTAGGAACTTACTACAAAAGCCCTCTCCTCTGTCTCCTACAGCCCCCTCCTCCTGAGATCCTGGTAAGCTTGCTGAGTTGCACTTTATTGAATATGGTTATTTCTCCCAGAGGACTTTTACTCAAAATCATACTCCTGATTTCACCTCCTGGGGGCCAAAACATTTTCCTAGGAAAAGAGACCTCATTCCTGTACTCACAGCAATAAACCAGAGGCTTCTCCAAGCCTCCTGATTTTAAGATTTGGGTTGGCAGGCCCTACGTAAGAATTCTGATGTTCCAGTCCTTGCCTTCATCTCTTGTTATTCTTGCTAGTTCAAGGGCCTGTTATGAGGTCCGTGAAGAAGCCTGAGATCAGTCTTGCTCACAGTGATGCTCTCAGCACCCCCCCCACACCCCTGTGCTGGGCCCAGAAAAGGTTCCTGTTAACTCCTTTGAGTGTGTCCTGCCTCTCAGGGTTGACTTGACCCTGGCCTCGAATTGCTGGGTAAGCTGGCCATTCTTCCTCTGAGCTCATAGCAGGAAGAGGTCTCAAGATGACAAATGTTGATGCAGACAAGCTGGAGTCAACTTCTCGCCCTGAGGTCTGTTTTGCAATCTATAAAGGGCAAAGGAGATCGCTTGCAAGCATCTGTTAGAAGCCAAGAATTTGAACTTGCTATCCTGGCTCCTACAGTGATGTGGCTCCTTTCCCAGCTAGAATGGTGAATTTGTGTCCCGAGTTATTTCTGCTGAGCTACATGCCCATATGTAACCTCTCAAAATGAGCTGGCTCCCAGAGAAGGCTTCAGGGTGCTGAGGTCTGCGCGTGCCAGTGGCATCATCTGAAATCATGATTTGAACCTTTGGTGAAGGCTTAAGGCCTGAGGATACCTGTCTCCACTCTATCCAGGCCTTCTGAGCCATCTGCAGCTTACCACTAAGAGGATGAGGGACGGTGAACTGCTTCTTGTGGGCACGGACAGGAAGTAGGCTCTGCTTCTGTCCCAGGTTTTCCTTTTGCTGGGCTTTCCTTTGCTGTACCATGTGCTTAAGCTTTTTCAGCCGTTCTTGTGAGCGAGAAATGAACTGAGGTCTACGGACTTCCAGTGCTTCCTAATTGGGACAAAAAGTTTTACTTTTTAAGAGAAGGGAGATCAGGAAACACACACACACACACACACACACACACACACACACACACACACACATCCAGATATCCATCTGTCTTACTCAATGGGAGCCAATCAAGAAAACAATACTGGGTAGGCAAAAGCCACAAAGCAAATCCTTGTGATCATTTCCCCCTGTGACCATGTGTAAAGATGGCAAGGGCACATTGATGACAATCTTCTGGAGGTCAGTTCCAGCCAGCATCACAGAACCCACTGTGGCAGAACCAAGCAATAACTAGCATTGAAGCCACTGGGTACCAATGGCCAACATCTTTCCATTTGTAGAATCATGCTGCCAATCACTACACCAAGGAGGGGCCTGCAATAAGACATTCCAAGAGACATGGGTGGGGCTAGAAGGCAGGTGCTAGAAATCTGCATACTCTTTTCTGCCGGGATTGGAGTCTTAGGAAGCACAGTCATTCTCCTGGCACAGAAAATGGCACAGAAAATGGTGCCTTTCCAAAGTCCTGTCTGTGGGTTACAGGACTCCTGGGTAGAAAGAGACAGAAGACTTTGCTATGCAGAGTGGTTCTGTGAGATTCACAGGACAGATCAGCATCCCCTGCATCTCCACAGTGGCCTTAATCCCTCTGATCTCCTTGCACAACACAACATGTGCAGAGCTGCCATGGCAGACACTGGGGATGTCATTTGTATCCATCCTCTTTGGGAATTCCCATATAGATTCTGCAGTGTCCATTGGTCAGATTAGAAAGCACGCCAGCAGCAGCCACACCCACTTCTCCCAGTAGGTCCTACTGGGTCTTCAAGGTCAACCAGAGCATCATGGTACCTCACAGATTGCCTTGTGCAAGAGTGAGTCCCACATGGCTATCTCCCTGCTAAGCTGTGGAGGCAGACACATGCTGTATCTCAGTAACTTTGTATCTTTCACAGGCACTGTCCCGGGTTTGCCTACAGCAGGTACCCAGCACAGGTTAGATGTGATCCTCCCTGCACACTGGGGGCTCAGGGAGGAGCACACCATGAGCTCCATCCATGTCATGCAGGTGCTCCTGGCAGCTGCACTGATAAAGGAGTCTCTCTGGCATTGTGAGCCATTGGCTACTGAGTAACTAACTCCCCAGTCACAAAATGTGCACAAAATGTCAAGTCTGGAGACAATGTCCCTGAGCATGCCCAAGTGTGGCTGCTGCTTTACTGTTCACCCACCTGAGAACATCTTAGAGGTTCAGGATTTGGAGGACAGCCTGGATTTTTTTTTTTTTTTTGCAGGCTCATCAAGGCCCAGGGTTACAGCAGTGAGCCAATGGAATTTTCTTCACATTCAGGGAGAGGTATCCCCCATAGCAAGTGCCGTCCCCCAAAAGTACATCTGCCCATGCAGAATGCTAGTAGCAGCAATTTTCTGCTGCTACATAAAAATTATAATTAATTATAATATATATGTATAATATATGTATATGTAATATATATGTGTATCTGTATATATAATCTTTCATGTCTTTCAACCAATGGCTGCATGATTTGGGAAGTCCCCTGAAGCTTTCAAAGGCTGTGCATCCTCATCTGACTATGGGGTGTATAGAGGCTCTCATCTGATAGGGATCTTTTGAAAATCAAATGTGAAGTGACCCTTGTGACCTGTGGACACCCTTTCATAGCTATGGTCATGGTTGATAGTGCTAACAGTTCTCATTCTTACATTGCAGAGTCATATGTCATTGACTCCAGAAAGCAAACAGCGGAAGAGAGGTTAGAAAAGGTTAGGGAGGGGCCAGTGACAAAGGCAGGGGACTTGCAGTCTCAGGCAGAAGTGAGGTCAGGTGCATGGCACACTCCCCAGGAGAAACCTCCCCTGGATAGAGTCAAGCAGGATGGGGAAGCTTTACCTGCAAGGTCATGGAGCTTGCCAGCAGATGCGGAGGCTCAGAACTATCTTCCAATGGGTCAGAGCTCTGTGGTCCCTCTGCGGGTGTTGGAGAGGGCATTGCTGGTGAAGGCTCGGGTGTGGCAATGAGGTCCTTGTGCTTCTCAAATTCCTTTAGTTTTACAACCAAGTCACAGCATGTGTAATCTAGGAAAGCAGATTTACAATCCACTTAGAGGGCACCCAGCAGCTCCCCTGCCCAGCTCCCAGACACAGGAGGAAGACACACAAGGCAATTTAGAGAATAGAAACCACCAGTGAGTTGTTAACCAGCCTTGTTAAGCCCATGAGATCCTCATCACAGAGCTTCACAGCTGCCACAGTCACTGCAGCAGGCATCAGCCTGAGTCCATGACAGGCTAGTTAGGCCACAGAGGTGCCTCTTACCCTACAGTGTTCAGAATGCCTTTTCTCAAAATGAAAGGAGACCTTTCTAGACTGGATTTCATATTAAGTGTGTCCCTTGTAATTGTTACAGTTCGCTTGCTTCAACACAGCATATTAATCTGTCTTGTGTTTGCCACACTAATGATATAATGACCAGGGATGGTGTTCAATTATGTATCCCTCCCCTTAATTTTCCAGAGTCGGCCACTGGCTTCACATAAGTAATCAGGGGGTTTTTCTCTCAAAGCTGGCTGGGCCCTTTCCTGGGGCCATGTTTTAGTTTCCTTTTGTGGGAAGGGTCAGACTATGAGTGACCCCTTATCACTCCAGATGAGGCCATCTCTGGGCTACCTCCTGATAGAGCCTTGGTCTCAAATGCAAGGATAGGTCCCTTCCATCACCTTAGCCCACCCTTCCCCTCTGACCCCCTTACTCTCCTCTGTACCTTCTCAGTCCCAGCCTCACCCTTGGCTCTTACGCTACCCCATTTCACATGATTCTCTGCCAATACCAAAGCACTTAACGCAGGTCATTCTTCCAGTCTTCAAGCGCATTCTCTTTTTTTCCTGCAGAGGATTTCTTCACTGTCCCATTTTCTCCTTAGGCCTAACCAGTAGCTCAGGTCTAGCCACTAGCCAGCACTCTCTCTTCCAAAAGCAATCCCCTTCTCTACCACACTGTTCCCATGCCTCCTTGCGAACACTCTTCCCCAGCTCATAGAGAAACCAGGGTCTTTGCATCTTTCCCCTCCTTCATCCTCTCCTGGAAAGGATAACTCCGGGGCTAGTCCTGGCATGCTGCCTTCTCACTGCTTGTGGCATCTGTCTCCAGATCCAGCATGTCTCCACTGCTGTGGCTTCTCCCACTGTAGAGACCTCCTCTCTCCTCCCTGACTGGGTCTCCACCCCAGCCCCTCTCCCATCTGTCCACATACTGCTCACCTGGAATGCAAATCCCACTGAGATTCTTTTTCTTTCAAAGTCTCAGCCCTGCCTGCAGCCTAGACTGCAGTGGGTGGAGAGGCTCTTCCATCTTAAACCACCGGGACCTCAGAGAATCAGAAGCCCCTGGTTCTGGTGCTAGTCTCCTAGGCTGCTCATGGCTTTGTGGCCTTTCCCTCCCCACTCAAGTGTCTTTTTCTCCAGTCTCATTTTAAACCTCTAATGACATTGACATCCAGCTTAGAATCACTGTGTACAGAGACACCTCTGCTCAGACCTCTCTGAGTGTAGGCCATCTTCAGGCTCCACACATTCACACCTAACAGTTACACTGCGCCTTCTGCACTGCAGGGAGAGTACTGGCCTCAGCACCCAGCTTACGACAGGTGTTTAATAATTGCCTCTGCAATCCATTGATGGTTAAAAACATAAGAGTCAAATCCCAGTCATGTTACTGTTACTTTTGCCAATTACCATAATCAGTTTAACTTTTGTCACCCCAAGACATATGATCCCGTATGGGCCCTTCTGTCTTGTTCCAAGTATTGTAAAAATATCTTCAGGGTGATGGGAAGTCCAGGGCCCATTCTCTGCCATGATCTTCTGTCTTTTCACATAGAACCGTCCACTACATGGTTTAGGAGTGGTCAGTAGCTTGACCTACAGGGACATACATGATGCCTATGTCCAACTTGGTTATTTCCTCTGGAGTGAAATGGAGAGGTGATGCTTGCCTGTGTGCACTATGGGGTCCAAGTTGCTCATGTTAAGTGCTAGCTATATGTCAGGGGCTGTACCCCTTAGCTGTTATCCCTGTCAGCCAGTACTGGGAGCCTGGGTAGCGAGGAGGGCATGCTACCTTCAGGGCAACTGTACCAGCTCCCCAGACCTTTCAAGGCCCAGCCACAGAGTCAGCTGTGTCCCTGGGCAGCCTTCTGGGCCTTAACTGCAACTGGCACTGACATTGACACTGAGTGTGGTTGATCTGGGGGCCTCCTGATCTGTATAAAGCTGCCTTCTATCTGCTTGTGAGGTGTGTTTTGCCCATCATGTCTACTTGTTAGTCCTGCTCCTTCTGCCTTGCCGGCAGGTATCTCCATAAGGCCAGCATGTGTGAATCATTCCAGAAAGGCACTGAGCTATTGTCTTTATGTGTATCAAGAAAGAGTCTGGGGACCACCGCCCTTGCTCCTTACCTTTCTGGGACTCTTTTTCTATCTGAACAGTATCATCTTCCTGCAGTGAGGCACATGCAGCTTGTAAAGGGCAAAGAAATCCGGACAAGGGGACTCTGGGTGTCAGGAAGTACAGGTGCTGTCTCTCTTGGGGCTCAGAAAAGATGCGAGATTGACCATCATTGCTTGGCGGACTTGCCCCATCAGGAGGGACGTGTTTAATGGGCTTCTGTCCCACTGGAGGAGCAGGAAGAATCACTTGTGCTTCTCCTTGCTGCTCCTTGCTGTTTCCAGAAAATACTTTTCTTTCTATTAAAAATAAAATGAGAGTTGACTCAAAACATCGGATCCTGATGAGGCTGCCTCTTAGGTGCCTAATGACTGCCCCATTGCTCTTCTAGCTAGTGGGCTACAGCAGGGCTTTAGGGAACAGTAGGTAGTTGTTATAGCTGCATGATAGCAAACTTTACATGTGGTCAGCATCCTTGACTCTGAACTGGAGGTAAGAAGAAGCTCTATTTGTATACACCCTTTACCATGAATTTGGCTTCATTTGTATACACTGTTACCATGTATTTAGTTGCAAAGGGACTGTGCCCAGTAGTGTCCTTGAGAAGTCATATTATCTTTCCTATCACTCTCAGCAGAATAAGGGATGGAGCATCTTACACTTAGACTTGACCCACAGTACCTAAGTTCAGATCCCAGCTCTGCCACTTAAACTCACAGCTTCATCTATAAAAATCTAGGTGAGACGATAATACAATCAGTGAATACTAGACACTATTTATTTGCTCTATTATTGGGTCTTACAAATATAGAACTAGAATATATGCTATAGAATATATTTAATAACACTATTTATGTGTACCCAATAACATTATTTATGTAAGCATCAACCATTAAAACAGGTAATAAGAAAATAATAATGCATAGAGCATCGGATACACACTAAGCATTGGTTTTTCCCTATTTTTACAGATATTAATGTCATGACATGTTATAGCAAGCACAGAGGTAGCAAGCAGAGCCTCATGCCTCCATCAAGCTCTGAGGAAAAGATGGATCTATAGATGTGTGGCACATGCCGTTTCTATAGCATAACATCCAGTTCCCCAGACACCTATGTCTACCAATCAGGGACCAGTGAAGGAAGGTATATGCATCTGTGCTTTGCAGCAGCTTAAAGACACAGGTGTTGTTGAGTGAATACATACTCACATTGCAACTGTATTGTTCAGCAAACAAAGCAAAATGAGGCACATTCGTAGCAAATGCTATTTTTGCAGAGGATATCTCTAGAGAGATAGGATGATGAGGGAAAGAGCAATGCAGGCCAGGAGTGAAATGGAAGAGGCACTGTCTCTCTCATGTCTGTTTAATAGGCTGGGATATTTTCAAAAAAGCTAAATTTTCACAATTTCCTGTAAGTTTTAAAAAGATGCCTGTTTTAGATAAAGTCATGACTGTTCTTGAGTTACCACCACCTTACATTGATGTCTCTAAAGGAAACAGCTCCATTGGAGGTGGGAGCAACCAATGTAAATGAGACGGGGCCCTTAAATGTTCACGTGTTGAGGCAGGGAAAAGTAGTGGGTATAACTAGTACAATGAAAGCTAGGAGAGCCACAACTCTGTTTTCTCAAGAGTGTCCTGCACAAGAAAGAGTGGACTCTTGATACTGCTCTGAGGATGTCACTGGTGACCTGTCAACGATGCCCCAGTTTCCATAACATACTTCCCCTGACCAGGAATAGAGAGAACTCCAGCCAAAAGCCAAGCAACCTTTAACTCTCATGCCCAACTTCCTGACCCAGTGAGGCCTAATATCCCAAAGCTCCTACAGCCTTCTTCTAAATAGCGCCCCAACCTGGGGACCAACTGTTCTAACATATGAGCCTGTCTGGGGCATTTTATACCCACACCATGACACTCTCTGTCTGTCTAGATGTTCTAATATAATCAGTGTGAGTTAAATGCACACCATATATAAAGCCACTGTCATGCCACTGTGTCTATTATGCAAGAGCTTCCAGAAAAGAGTTCAGCAGAGTGGCATGGCCAGAAATTCTGGGCAAGTTAGCATCATATTATGTCCTAAATATGCAGGGCTAACCCCAATGAGACAAGGCAGGGCTGCTGTGTGGTCAGGCATGCCAGCTAGTGGTTGTGAGGTTGGCAGAGGGTGCTATCCTATACTTCTGGCCCCTGATCTACCCATGTTTAGCAGATAGAGTAGGGAACCTGGAAGGAAATCAGGGCTCTCAACAGGGAGGAGCCTAGTGTAAATAGGATAAGAAGAACCTCAGCAATATGGTATCCAGATCTGCTGAGAAGGGACATATGTAGGCCAGTACAGAGCATTACAGCTTACACGGGTTCTTAGTAAGCAGGGTAACAAGGTGGGCATTTCTATGGATATTTTACTTCCAGTGGCCATAATGCACTACCATGCACATTGACTTAATAGAAAAAGTCACTTTCCCATTTCTTTCCCAGCATTCAGGAGATACACAGAACTTGGAGCTATAATGACTGAGGGGCTTTGGATCACAGCAGACAGCAACAAAGTGCTTAGCAACTGCTTACAAAGATCCACACAACACTAGGACTCTGTCAGTCAGATGTCAAAGGCAGAACATGA